TCTGGACACTTCCCTCCATTCAGATGAAAGGCCATTGACAATTACTCTTTGAGTGTGGTTCTCCAACCAGTTTCCTATCCACCTAACTATCCTAGAGTCCAGTCCATAGTCCTCTAGTTTACCCATCAGAACATCATGGGGAACCCTGTCAAAAGCTTTACTGAAACCCAGGTAAACAACATTAACAGCAATCCCTCAATCCGGTAAGCTTGTCACTCAATCAAAGAAGGAAATGAGGTTGGTTCTGCAGGACCTGTTGGGGTTAAATCTGTGCTGACTTCCCTGGATCACCAAGTTGTCCTTTAGATGCTCGCAGATTGATCCCTTTAAAATCTGCTCCAGTATCTTCCCTAGGACAGAGGTCAGACTGACTAGCCTGTAGTTTCCTGGGTCATCCAGCCTCCCTTTTTTGAAAACTGGGGTAACATCTGCCCTCCTCCAGTCTTGTGGCATTTCTCTCATCCTCCAAGAGGTCTGGAAGATGATGGACAAAGGCTCTGCAAGCTCTCTAGAAAGTTCTTTGAGCACTCTTGGGTGTATACCATATGGTCCAGGGAATTTGTACTCATTCATTGCAGCCAGGTGCTTCTCAACCAGCAGCCTGGACACCATACCTTGCCTACTACCATCTCTAGAAGAGCCTGTTCTCTTCTTCAGGGGAAAAAACTGAGGCAAAATAGGTATGAAGCCTTTCTGCTTTCTCTGTCAGGGTTTCTCCATTTTCGCCCAACAGTGGGCCCATTGCCTCTTTTATTTTGTGTTTGCTCCTCACATATCTGAAGAAGAGTTTCTTGTTATAGTGAGCCTCCCTGGCCAGCTTTAGCCCACTGTGAGCTTTGGCCTCTCTGATAACTCTGGCCTCCTCTTTACTGTGGCAGTGGGCTTCTGACCATGGCCTGACACAGCAACAGCAGGAGCCATTTAAAAAACTCCCCTCATGTCATTACTCAGGGTCCCTGTCCCCCAGGAGCAGCAATTTGTGGATAATGGTGAGCTGCAATGAGGTGGGGGGGGGCTCAGGAAAGTTCCATCCGGCCACTACAAAGGGTTGTCTGGATCCCACCCCATGTCTGTAACTGGAATGGGGCCGTAGTGTCTTTGGGACTGTGGTCAATGACTCTGATTTCCACAATGGAGTTGGTAGTCTTACAATGCTGTCCTAATCAATAAACCAATGAAGGCTGTAACTCTGCTGAGGGAGGCACTGTTATTATCATATCAGGGGACTCTAAATTATTCTTTTTGTAGAAGATACTAGGGTTTATTAGCTACACCATTTTTTTAAACAAGATAATGGGGGCGTAGGATCTTCTGTCCAAAGATAAGGTTTATGTGTATCAAATATAGGCATGTTACGTCCCATGTATGGCTCAGTGCATTGTTTAAGTACGTTTACCGTGTCTATAGAACTCATTTTAAACTTCAGTCTGTTTTACACAAAGGGATAAGGACACTGAAGCACCAGATTCTGAATCAGAATACAGCTGTAGTGGCCCTTCTTCCTAGATCAAGGTGGGCAGCCATGTTGGTCTGAAGCAATAGAACAAAGTTTGAGTCCTGTGGTACCTTTAAGACCAACAAAGTTTCATTTAAGGTGTGAGCTTTTGTGTGCACGCACACTTTGTCAGATGAAGTGTGTGTGCACATGAAAGCTCACACCTTGAAAAAAACTTTGTTGATTTTAAAGGTACCACTGGACTCTAACTTTGTTCTAGCCCTTATTCCTGTTCTTGTTCCCCAGATCACAGCTAGCCATGAAATGAGAACATGGCTGCGGTCACATGGAGCATTAGCCACGCTAGAGGGACGGGAGATAGGCGGATTTTCCGGGCGCGATCTCACTGCCACATCTGGGAAGTGTAGAGCTCCCGTGGCTCACCCGAGGCTTCCCGCGGAAAACGCGCGGTAAAAAACTAGTACCTCGGAGGTACTAGTTTCTAGAAACCACGGGGCAAGGGCGGGCGTCTGACCGCGTTTCCGGTGGTAGTTCCGGCGCCCGCCCATGTCCCCTAGCAAAAAGGTTTTTCTTTTTCCAAGTCTCCACGGATGCGCACAAGCACCCAACGGAGCATGCGCACACTTCAGTTTAAACAAAACGAACACAACCCCGTTTGCTGCGCCGCCCTGCTTCTTTGCCTGTGGTGTGATCAGCACCTCCCCCCTAACCTTGGAACCTCCACAGGACGTCGGATCACGCAACCGCGCGTTATTTAGCCCCGGGGCAAACAGCCATGCTCCCCCCCGCATTTTCCGGCCAGTGTGACCAGAGCCTCCTGTTCTTGTTCCCCAGATCACAGCTAGCCATGAAATGAGAACATATTATTTTTTCCAGTAATAAAGACACAGAGATTGCCTAAGTTTGTAATGAAATAGATCTTCTGTTTTGTGGCGTTGTAGTTTGCTGATATATTCACCCAATTTTTGGCCAATGTAAAAAAATAATAGGCCATTTCCTTAGGCTTCTGAGAAATAACAAATCTTTTACAGTTGCTTCTGTGTTTAATTTTGATTTTTAAATTGCCTATGTAGAACATTGTACACCCACATAGACTTATCGGTACATTTTCAATTAATGTGGAGCTTTAAAAGCAGCTAGGAAGCAGAAAAAAGAAAAGTGCTAATGTAACACAGTGTGGCGGGGGCCTAAAGAGGGGATGGTTCACATGAACAATGTTCTATCATAGTTTGGCATCACATGTGCTCCAACAAATGATGTTTTATGAACTGAACCAGAATCTGAAACCATGGTCTGAAGCTGGCTCCAAATCACTTCTTCCCAGATAACACTGGTTGCAGTTGTTGTTATTCCTGCTATTTGGGGAGGGAGAGCCATATCTCAGTCATAGAGGACATGACTGATTAGCATGCAGAGTGTTGTTCCAAGTCCAATCCCTGCTATCTCCAATATCTAGGTAGCACAGCTAGTCACAGTAGCTTTAAAAAAAATTATTTTATATATAAGACAAACAAAAGAAAAACAAACAAATATAGATACAACAAAAATGGGGATTCCATTTACAACATTATTTTGTCTGTTAAATTCATACATTAACAAATTGTATTTTAAAAAAATTTTCACCTTGTATTTTAGAGTATATTGTTGTTTAAAACTAAAAAGAGAGTTGTAGTTCATATTTCCTTGTACTTCGGTCGTATGTCCATATGATTTATTTGTTGGTCTCTTCCATCCATTTGTAAAATCTTGACCATGTATTCTCAAAGTTTTCTTCATTTTGCCCTTTCAAATTAAAGTTAGTTTGTCCATCTCTGCAGTTTCAAGTATTTTGTTCATAATTTCTTCTTTTGAAGGTACCTCATTTTTCCTCCAGTATTTGGCATATAATATTATTGCAGCTGTCACTACATGTATAATAAGAATCTTGCTTTTTACAATTTTCTGGTAATATATTCAATAAAAACAACTCTGGTATATAAGGTATATTACATTTTAACATTTTTTGTAACAATTCATGAATCCAAGACCATTTTTAACTCTGTCACATGTCCACCACATATGAAAAAAAGAACCAACATTTTTTGACACTTCCAACAATCATTTGTAGCTCAGAATAAAACTTTGCTAATTTGTCTGGAGTGATATACCATCTATAAAACATTTTTAAATATTTCCTTTATATGAAATTGATTTAGTAATCTTTACATTTGTTTTTCATACCTGTAACCATTGGTCTAAATCAATATTATGATCCAAATTTTGCGCCCATTGGACCATGCAGTTTTTAACTATTTCGTCTTATGTTTTATTTTCTAACATTATTACATATAATTTTTAATCAATTTCTCATCAGTATGTAACAATATCTTGTCTATTTCTGTTGTTTTTGAATAAAAACCTATTTGTTTATCTTTGGCATATCTTGATTCTATTTGAACTGTTTCCCACCAACAAGTTGGATTCTTGTATTTTAAGGTTTTCTATTGGTTTTATTTCATTTTTGTTATCAATCAGATCTTCATATCTTAACAGTGCATTTAAAAAAATAAATTTGGGTTTGTGAACGCTTCTAAAAGTGAAACCCATTTTGGTATTAGCTAGTCACAGTAGTTTGAGGGACTAGAGTATAAGGCAGCTCAGTATTTTCCCAACTGCTCATTCAATTGATTTTCATTCCTGGAAGTCTTTGAATTAACATTAAGAATAAGCTTTAAAAACCAGTTAGGTCCACAATATTTCACCCTAGTGGAAGAGAGCTAGGCTCCATATATGATATAGTCCTGGTAGACTGCTCTCGTAGAGATGAACTAGTAGGGAAGGAGAAAATCTATATATCTAATAGCCAAGTTGCCCCCTCCATGCAGATTCTAAATCCACACATTGGGGGCACTTGGGGGGCAGACAGATTTTCCTGCATGCTTGGAGCAGTCCCCAGGTGTGCAGAAAAATCTAAAAAGTTGAAAAAATATACGGGGGATATTTAAATCCCCCCAAAAGTAAAAGCGTTCCCTGCGCATGCACAGAGAACACTCTGGCCGTTGGGGGGGGGGCGGCTCAGTGGGCCCGGTGGCTGGAAGCCACTCAGGCTTTGCCGCTGGTGCTCAGGGGGGAGCGGGAGAAGGCTCGGCAGGCCCACACGGCTCTTGGTGGGCCCGGGCCTCGCCATCAGTGTGAGGTGGGGTGGGGGAGAAGGCTCACCTGCGGCTGCTTCCTCCTCCATGTGGAGCTCCCCCCCCACGAGTATCTCGGGTCCCCACTTCTTGTGAATTTCTAATCCCAAAATTGGGGTTGGGTACTGCTGTATTTTAGAGGCTTTGCTCATTCACAGACATAGGTGTGTACAAGCTCTTTTGTTCTTTTACCTAACTGTTCTTGAAATGACAAAATATGAATCTGGTAGAATTCTGTGTTCTGTGCACTTTTAAGGGGCACTTGCAAGGACTGGGCTTTTGCCAAGATTGTGTTGTTCATTTAGCATAACAAAAATTTGGTGCTGTCACTCTTCAGCTTTAAAATATAAAAACAGGTATATTTTACCTTTCAGGTGTAATTGTGTGGAGCCAGAAGACCCCAGCAATAAAACTTTGCAATATTGGCAATCTAAGAATATCTCCTCCTCTGATATACCTTGGGAAAACCTAACTTTATCAGTAAGTACGCATAACAGATGAAGATGTCATGAAAATTGATATTATTTATTTGTAAATTATATGAAAATAATGATGATAATAATAATGATAATGATGGTGATGATGAGGAAGAGGAGGAGGTCAACCATGTCCAATATTGCTGGCAAAAATTTGTTTATCTTTTTATTTAATAAAACTTTATGGAGATTATTCTTTATTGTTTCTAATGCATATTAAAACAAGCTTCTGCACCACAGAACACTGCTTAGAAAACTTCTTTGTGTACTAACAGGGAGTATTACTGAGATTAAATCGACATTCATCAAATAACAACAGATTTGACCTAAATTCTACCAGATGGTAAATCTGAAGCTGCCTTGTGTAAAAAGAACATGTAAGCTCCATATTTTTCCTAAAATACTCTCCCAGATGTTTGGGATATAGTGAGGAGTTAAAATAGAAGGTTTGCAGACATCCTTGTTTAATATCCCTTTATTGACATCACGGAAGTTCATGACCAGGCAGACAGAAGACAGTGGCCTGAATCCAGTGGGGCATTTCTGTAGGCAGAAGGATTCCCATCCCATCTCACCTCCTCCTTCCTGCTGCATAATGCCCCCCCTATTGCACAGGTTCTTTTGGGGGATGGGGCATCTGGGGTTGCAGTGGGAGGGGGAAGGTGAGAAAGTTACACTCCATGGGAAGAACTCCTTATTGTTGCACCAAAGGTCCATTGGATACAAGCCATGGTCAAAGTAGGAGAAGACTGACTTCACATTTGTGACTCTTCTGTGATGTTTACTAGAAGCCATAAATTATCCTGATACATTTAAAATTTTCAGAGCTAGAATTTATCCTCCGGATCTCATAACAGTTAACGCACAACTAATCTCTGTTCAGTGGTCCAGAGTAAGCTCACTCACTGGGGGACACCAATGTTTTTTGGGGTAAGACCTTGGTCTGCTGAATAAAACATTTCTTACGAGAATCCAGTCATCTAGTAGGCACTAGACAGTCCCCTGGTTTTTGGGGACCATGGTGGCCCTTCTGTTTGCCCCTTGTCATCCTCCTTTAATCAGCTGTGTAACAGTTCCTGATTTCTGGCCACTAAAGAGCTAGAAAGGCTACAATTTCCCTCCTCTGTGGCAGCCTGGAAGAATCATAGGGAAGGTTCAGTGAGAATGCCGCCTAACACAGCTGTTCACAGGATACACCAGTAGGTTCTGGAAATGCTGCAAAGGCACTTCCAGTTTCCTTGCATTACCAGTGAGACTTGACCTTTGCCCCTGAATTGCCACAGTGTTGGCTGGCTGTGTTTCACTTGTCAAGCAGAGGTTACCTTGCCATTGCAATTCTTTAAGTTGGGTTGCCCACAACAGGTTCTCCCCCAATCTGTATTGTAGTTATAAATCCAGAGACACTTAAAGCAATATAGTTTCAGAGGGTAGCTGTGTTGGTCGGCAGTAGAACAGCTAGATTTGAGTCCACTAGTACCCTAGAGACCAACAAGATTTTCCGGGATATAAGCTTTCTAGAATTAAAGGTCCCTTCATCAGGCAGAGTAGAGTAGAATAGAACAGAACGGAACGGAACAGAATAGAATAGAAAACTTGACTCTCAAAAGTATATACCCTGAAAACCTTGTTGGTCTTTAAGGTGTTACTGAACTCAAATCTAAAGCTATTTTTATTTATTTATTTATTTATTTTTCGTATTTATACCCCGCCCTCCCCAGTGGGCTCAGGGCGGCTTACAGAGGCAAGGAAACCTTGCCATAATAAAAACATGGTATACATACTAGCTTTAAAACAATACAGTACAACGTTAAAACATCCTAAAAGTTAAAACAGTGGTGCTCAATACATAACTCCAAAGATGGCGGATCAAAGGTCCAGAGTTCCCGGTGATGTTTCCCATGGCTAGGGCTTCTTTGCAATATTCAGATGTTAAAGCAATATGTTCAAGTTTGGGCTGCTTTGTGTGGTGAAATGCAGGATCTTTGTGAAAATTTACAGCTTGGCAAAGTGAATGTTGCATTTGCACTTTATGAATACTATGGCATATGGTGGGGGACAGTGACGGGTTCCATCTTCAAATGGCCTCTCATCTCCTAATATATATTATTAGGGATTTTATTGTATTTATTGTACAGCGTATTGGAATATTTTTATCATGGTGTTACCTGCTCTGAGCCTGGGCACAGGGAGAGCAGGATACAAATTTAATAAATCAAATCAAGAGACTAAACTAAAACTAGATTTACAGGCAGTCAGGTCAAAAGGTTGCAGGGCAGGTTTTCCCTTCTAACTCCAACTTTTCCCTTCTAACTCCAAGTTCCTGTGTTGATGGAATTAGCCAGAAGTACCACAGCCTTGGAGCTGCAGTGGCTCAAGTGGTTAAGACGCTGAACTGCAGGCTGTGGAAGGTCAGTAGTTCAGCAGTTCAAGACCCGGGTGCCACAAGACGGGGTGAGCTCCTGTCTCTAGTTCCAGCTCCTGCCAACCTAGCAGTTCGAAAGCAAGAAATTGCAAGTAGATAAATAGGTACCACTTCAGTGGGAAGGTAACAGCGTTCCGTGCACCTTGGTGTTTAGTCATGCCGGCCACATGACCACGGAAACCTCTTCGGACAGCGCTGGCTCTTCGGCTTTGAAATGGAGATGAGCACCGCAACCCTAGAGGCGGATTCGACTGGCTTTCGAGCAAGGGAACCTTTACCTTTACCTTTTACTACAGCCTTACACCTGTGGCATAGGGATAGAATGCAGTGTGTAGTCAAACTTTCTGGCAAGAAATTAGCAATGGAGGAATCTCAGACTATACAGTGAATCTGTCCTTTTGTGAGAGAAGAGCACATGGTGGGATGAAAAGAAAGATTTTGGAACTCTTTTGAGGAGAATCAGGTATTAAGGGAAGATGCCAACAAGATACGGACAGAAGCTGAACAAGAAATCTGGAAACTTTAGGATTATTATGCCTACCTCTTAGAGAGGTAACTTTTGGACCTAGGGCAAGAGAATGGGTGTATCACCCATTTTATTTTACTTTGCTCAGATGATAATTCTTGCTCAACTATATGTGTTTCCTTTTTGTAATCAACAACTACTTAAACAACTAAAGGGTTCCCCCCCCCCGGCGTGGTCATTACACCCACTCAAAGCCCAACTCAACTCACACTTACCAAGATACACAGAGAAGGCAAGGAGATGCCTGCTTAGCTCCAAATAACTTTAAAAAGTGAGGTTTTCAGGGTTCCCCCCTACATTTATGGTTGGGGAGGTGATTCTTAATCTGAAGAAAACTCTCCAAAGAAACAGAAAGAGAGGATCTGGTTGCAGGTCACCAGATGAGAGTACCTCTGAGTCCTGACCTGGGGTGGCAACAGACAGTGTTCCTAACTACCCTGGGCAGGTGGGGGGGACAATGGAATTATGCTAAATTTGCCATTGAAGTATAGCGTTCGCACTTTTGGCCTGCCCCTGGCGGAGGCGTGGCTGTAAGTGGATTTTTTCACTCTGGCGACATGCGCCTAGGCGCAGCAATGTGGCTTGTTTGTGACTTTTAGCGTGCACACTTCCGGGGTACTGTACAACTGGACGGTTTGCTACCGCTTTCACCTGGTACTTTTTTAATGTGGTAGGGAATTGTCATAGGACAGGTTGAGTACAGCTGGGGAACGCCTGACAGCTGTGGCTGTGTGAACTGGCCCCTTTAATCTGTTTGTGAAACGTGCGTATATCGGGCCAAACTGCCAGTCTGAACTTAAAGATCCATCACGAATATGTCTAATTCTCAACCCAGCCAAAACTGAGGATTCTTAAATCTGGAGATCGGAGCCATGAACAGACAAGACACATCTTTCTACAAATCTGAAAAACACCTCAGGTTTGCAGAAAAATCTGAAATCTTAAAAAAAATAAAATTGGAAGGTTTAAAAAGGTCCCAAATGTACCTTTAAGATAGCCTCAGTGACCATTGCTAGACAACCACAACAGTTTTGTGAGCATTCCAGGCTTGGTTGCTGTCAAGAGAAGGCAGAGAGAGGACTCAGGGCATTTTCCAGGGCTATTTTGGCCTTTGAAGGAAGTCTCATTGAGACCAGGTTCACCAGCAACCTTTGGGCAAGTTGGGCCCCCAACTTGCATGACTCACCCTGGACTGGCTGCTTGTTACTGTTCAGCAACAGTCACCCTACAAAAGCCAGCATAGTGTAGTGATTAGAATTTCAAACTAGGATTTGGGCAACCCAGGTTTGAATCCCCATTCTGCTATGGAACTTCACTGGGTGACTTTGAGCCAATACCTCACAGGGTTGTTATGAGGATAAAATGGAGGTGAGGATAATTGTGTAAGCTACTTTGGGTTCCTGTTGTGGAGACAGTTGGGATATAAATGAAGTAAATAAATAATAAATAGTGCTGAAGGTTGGGGCCAGACAAAAGGTAAATTGGTAGGTAAGAAGGAAGCAGAAAGGAAAGAGGATGTGGGGGGTGCTAGTGGGAAGAGGAAATAATGTGGGGAGGGGGATCCGGGGGCAAGTGACATATCACCACAAGTACTTGCAAGCTCCCCACAATGCAACTGAAGAAAGTCACATATCCCCACAATTACTTGCAGGCTCCCCACAATGCAACTGAGCCCAGCTCAGCCAGCACTGTACAACTGGACTGTAGTCTTCCTAAGTAGAGGCTGGCAGGTGGTTGGGGAAGAAAAGGGGCATATAAAGTTAGGTTGGCTGTTAGATGGAAAGGAAAGAGGCTTTCAGGAAAGGAAAAGAGGGAGGGAGGGGGAAATGAGATGCCCTCTGCAAGTCTGTGCAGGTCCCTCACTTCTGTACATCTAGCTCACACATTTATATTATTCATCAAATAGATGGCTGTTGTGAAAATATGGAACTGTTAATCGCCTTTGTAGTATGGGTAGGAGAGGTTGTTCCTTCACATATATAATACCTGAATGTTCCAGTTTTGCCCCCTGATAAGCTTTGTAATTTCCTCTGTTCTCACATATCAATCTGTATCTTTGCTGCTAGAATCAGGGATATGAAGATTCTACTGTAGATTCTTGCTCATTTTATGGAAACTCTTCATGCCCTTGGATGTTTTACAGAGATGAAAACCTCCTAAATTAGCACTGAGATTTTACATAGGCCACTTCAGTGCTTACATTAGCACTTGTCTCATATCTTACCAAACGTGCCCTATACATTAAGAATTTCTTCTAGGGATGATAGAATTCCTAAAGATTCACCCTGTTAACAATTTGAACCCTCTCTATTTCTTACAAAGATTCTCAGACTTTAGCAGAATCCCTAGAGTAGAGATGGAAGGAGAGGAAAAGAGAAGAAGAAGAGAAGAGATCGGATTTATATCCTGCCCTTCATTACCCAAAGGAGTCTCAGAGCGGCTTACAATCCCTTTCCCTTCCCTCCCCACAACAGACACCCTGTGAGGTAGGTGGGGCTGAGAGAGCTCTCTCGTGAACTGCTCTTGAGAGAGCAGCTCTGAAAGAATTTATGACTGACCCAAGGTCACACCAGCAGCTGCATGTGGAGGAGTGGGGAATCAAACCTGGTTCTCCCAGATTAGAGTCTGCACTCTTCTTAACCACTACAGGAAACTTGCCCTCCTTTCCTTCCCACAGTCTTGTTTTTCACAACTAGTAACCTTTCAATATTTTCTCTCTTTTTTCTGGAAGTTCACACACCCAATATCTCCAGTTCACATTCCTAGGGTGATTTCCCACAAGCGCTGCTCCACGCTCACGCCTCCCTTTTGCCCCAATGGTACGTGTCAATTTCACACAAGCTGCTGCACGGCCGCATTTTGCCCCACAGCTTCGCACGATTTCCCCTGCGTCGACTCAATCCTCAAAAAACAGGATTGAGTAGACGCGGGGAAAATTGTGCGAAGCTGCGGTGCATAATGCAGCCGTGCAGCAGCTTGTGTGAAATTGACACGTACCATCGGAGCAAAGAGAAGAGTGAGCGCATAGCAGCGCTTGTGGGAAATCACCCCTAGTCTCAGAACTGTGCCCCCCACTGCAAATGAATACACCACATGCTGTCACCTTGAATGAAATTGAAACTGTCCAATCACTTATTTAAAAAAATATAATGGCACATTTCTTGGAGGGCTTATTGGAAACCTGTGGATTGAGATGTGACACAATAAAAGACAGAAAAACCTAATTTCATTTCAAAATCTGATTGCATTGAACACTGCAATAATCTTGTTTCCTCAGCTTCCCCAGCAACACCCACAGCACCCTCTGATTAACCATCCACATTCCTGTATATGGGGGACCCTGTGTGTAAAGGCTCTGATGAGAAAATGCCAGAACACGATAGAAATTCCTTTTGCTACTTTCAAAATTCCTCATAAATTTACCACATGGAGGACTTTTATGTCCTCCTTGAAGTTCCACCGGGTAAAACATAGTGGGAATTTAAGGTAGGACATAAAATGGCAGATTTTGCTTTTGGAATATAAATTAAAAGGGTTAGTTTGTTAATGCGGACAAGTATTTCCTCAGTCTATTCCTAAAGAGTTCTCTTTACAAATAATTTTGTTTCAGCCAAACTACAGTGAATTTTGTGGAGTCTGTTGCCACCTTGTGGCAAAAGAAAATCTTTCTTCAAACTGGCTAACCAAAGGGATTTTGGATTCCTCTAAATCTCTCGTTTTACATAACATAGGATTTAGAATATGATCTTCAAACTACTTACTTGGCTCTAATCCAGAGAGAAAGGTTTCCGGATTATAATCTGCATTAAGCCTACAATTTTTGTGAGTGACAGTGCAATCCCGTGCGGAGATACACCCTTCTAATTCCATTGAAGTCAATGAGTTTAGAAGGGTGAACTCTGCTTATGACTGCACAGTGCGCAATACAGTTGATTTGAGATAGAGGGGAAGAGAGATCTGAACTAATTTCCCTTAAAATCCTCAAACAGTTGGATGTTAAGTGAAACACAACGAAATTGCTAAATGGAAATACAGCAGCCATATGCGGATTTGCTAGAGCAGGATTTCCTGATTTGCCCCTCCAGCT